AAGATATGTATACTATAGTTGTTACTTGTGTTCAAACTGAAGAAGGATTTACCAAATATTTTTACCAAATATTTTCCTATTTCTGTGGATCAGCTTTAAGCCCATATCTTTTTGCTTTAAGCCCTTACATCAAGGATCAGCTTTAAGCCCATATCTTTTTGCTTTAGTTATGGATGGTCTTATTAGACATCTACAGGAAGATTTACCTTAGTCTATGTTTTTTGTTGATGATATCCTTCTCGTAGATAAAACGAGAGAAAAAGACCAGGAAAAACTTGAATTATGAAGGTCTACATTGGAGTCTAAAGGCCTTCATTTAATTAGAACTAAAACTGAATACATAGAATGTAATTTTAGTAATAGTAGCTCTAGTGACAAAAGTGTAACTTTGTGTGATCAAATTATTAAAAGGTGTGAATAATTTAGATACCTTGGGTCGGTCGTTCAAAGCGATGGCGATATAGATGGGGATGTTAATAGTAGAATTCAAGTTGGTTGGTTGAAGTGGAGGAATGCTTCGAGTCTTTTGTGTGATAGAAAAGTACTGCTTAAACTGAAAGGAAAGTTTTATAAGACAGTGGTGAGGCCTGCAATGCTCTATGGCGCTGAATGTTGGCCTTTAAAAGAGAAGCATAATAATAAGTTAAGTGTTTCCAAAACGAGAATGATTAGGTGGATGAGTGGCTTTACACTTAGAGACAAAATGCGAAATGAATATATTCGTGATAAGGTTGGTGTAGCTCCAGTGATGGACAAAATTAGAGAAAGTCGTCTTAGATGGTTTGGTCACATTAAACATCGACCATCTGATGATCCGATTAGGAGAGTAAATGTTTTAAATTCAACTTGTGTTAAGAAAGACAGAGGTAGACCTAGGAAGACTTGGGCTTATTGTATTAAAAATGATCTTAATTTACTAGAACTAAATGAAAATATGACACTAAACAGGGCGCAATGGAGAAAAAGGATTCATGTAGTCGACCCCACATAGTGGGATTAAGGTTTTGTTGTTGTTGTTGTTGTTGTTATTGTTGAGGATTACTATATCTGGAGATAGGGGTGTAAACGAGCCGAACACGAGCAGAGCCCTCATTTATATTTCGAGCTCAAAAGGAGTGTTCATGTTCGGCTCGTTTGTTTAACGAGCCGAACATGAGCCGTTCATGAACAAAGAGTCGTTTTGACAACCTTAATCGCATAGTCATAAGATGTTAAGGATTGGGGCAAGATTAAAAACATCATTTGAATCTAATTTAAAACAAAGAGTCGTTCTTATTCTACTTTCATTTGAATCTAATTTTTATTCTATTTGCTTAATTTTTATTCAAAAAGTGTGTTTGTGTTTTTGTTCGTGTTCGGCTCGTTTATAGCCTTGCAGTTAATTAAACTTTTTAAAAATACTACGCATCAAATATATATATATATAGATATATATATATATATAATTGATTATTAGTATTTCGAGCCAAAACGAGCCGAACACGAATGAACAAATATTTATTTGTGTTATTCGTGTTCGGCTCATTAACTTAGCGAACGAGCCAAACACGAGCTTTTTAACGAGACGAACACGAGCTGTTCGCGAACAACGAGCCGTTTTAACAGCCCTATCTGGAGAAGTCCTTAAATAATTTTGAATTTCACTATCCTCCTCTAAAGTTAAAACTTATTACTTTCTTTCACTTGAAAAGGTTTTCTTTTAAATACTTTTTAAAAGAGCCTTAAAAATCGAAAATCTAAGAATCCTTAATTTTTCAAAAATACAATTCTTCCTACTAAAGATATTATTTATTTTCCCAAATTCTCCTCTAAATATTCTTAACTCTAGGTTCACCCTTTTCACTAAAAATATCAACTAAGTTTTCCTACTTCATTTCTATACTTAAAATTCTAACATCTTTAAGGTGACTCCGCATAACAATAATCATTAGAAATAAAATACAAAGTTATTTGTAGTAATTTTGAAAACAAGTAAGGTTTAAATTTGAAACGTAATAATGAAGTATAAAAATAAGTGGCAAGGAAAGATCATTTTTACAATTTTTAACACATCCTACAAAAATATCAACAAATAACACATGGTAGATATTGCAGTAGAAAGTAAATGTAGCCTAAATGTTTCACATAACACCATAAAGGAATTTTAAATAGAAAAACAGGTACAAACTGAAGATTAAACAGAAACACATGTTAAACTTTATAAGGGAATTGTTGGATGCTAACAAGTTTAAAATATTGAGATAAGTTTTGACATCTCCAATGACTCATTCAATTTAACTCACAAACATAGACACACAAACTCCAATACATAGTCTCACAGATTCATAAACAAATAACGACTAAGATTAATTCGATCTCCCTTCTACTCACATTTCCCCTCCTTACTTTCAATTTCTAACGAAATAAACTACACTAATAACGTGGGTGTATAATAAAACTTTATATGGTTATCACCCATGGACCAGAATTCCCTCATGTGTTGCCAATTTCAGGGTTACTCTAAGTCTAAGGTATACACAATCTGGTAAATAAAAATAGTGTAGTCCATCCAGATGTTGTTCACTAAGTAAGTTCATGACCTTACTCAGTTAAGACAACGTCAGATAAAGGAAGTAATAGAGTTGACATGGAGTGGTCCAAGTCCAAACTCTACATGTTTTAAGGTAATGCTCAGCTCCGGTTGAGAATTAAATCGTAACAGACTCGTCAACCTGCTACTACCATAAATAATATATAGATCTAGTCATAACGAAGGAATTACCTCACAAGATTAATCTAATCCACTCTTACACATCAAACACAGATAAAAGTCCAACATCTTACTATTATCCGATCCAACATAACAATAATCACATTAAATTAATAATAAAGATAACCATGGGTTGTCTCCCATGAAGCTCTTGGTCTAACATCGATAACTCGATGTATCCAATGTTTACTCTAGTTGCCCCAACGTCATAATCTCATTCATTTTTTGCCTTTATACCGTGGAATATGTCATTCGGTGATTGAATAACTCTTTTTTAGGAGATCTTTTACTGATTTCATCATTCAATTCAGGTTCTTGTGATTGAGTTGAATCTGAAGATATAAAGACTGGTGATGTAGATGAATTCCCTAAATAGGTATGCTTTAAAATTGTATGGGGTACATTTATCTTAAGTTCATGAGATTTTTCAACAGATAGAATTAAAAGTTTACTATTTTCAGTAACGTCCACCATTTAGCACCTCTCCAGAACATGCATACAGTCTTTTTTAAACAATATTTTCAACTCATCATGATAGTCCATTTAGATCTCATATATTAACTTACTCTTAAAACATTTTTGGAAATGTTCTTTACTTAGATAGTCAACTTCATTCATCTAAGAAATTTTCACTCTCTTTCTCTCTCACCTTGTCGCCCCCCTTGGGGCTCACGCCCAAGCCTTCTTCTTCTTCTCCAAGTCTTCTTCTCCTCTTCCAATTGATTCATAAGTCCAGGAGTAGTTTTAAGAACATTTACAAGCCTTATTTATTTCCCAAGAGATGCTTAAGTGTCTCTTCAAAAGTGTCCATATTCAATGAATCTTACAAAAAGTGTCTCAAGTGCCTCTTCAAAACTCCATATAACCGCCCCAAATTCTTCTAGAAAGTCCCTTTTATCATTTCCAACGAATTCTCAAAGAAGCATACGAAGCACCGCTTCAAAAATCGTTCAAATCTGATGTATATTCTAGAAGATATGTTGAAATCCGTTTTTGGCGCTTAAGCACCCTCCTCTTTGTCTGGTGGCACCTAAGTATCATTTTGGGTGCGGGTGCTTAGGCGCCGGGCACATGCACTTAAGTCCCTGATTTCGGCTCCCATGGCTCTGGTGTGCCCTGGTTCGACCCGATTTGCTTCAGTTTGCTCCGTTTTGGTTCATTTTTATTCATTTTGCTTCAATCACTCCAAATTCTTCAGATTGACGTACCTACGACTAAAAACACAAAAAAACATACATTTAAAGTGCAATATCATTATAAAATATAATATTAAAAATAGTATATTTTTAGGCACATCAACCTCCTCTTCCTTTGTCGCCGCTCCAAGGACTTCCTCATCGTCATCAAACTCATCGCCAGAGACAAGGACTTCTGCTTCAGTGATTGTGAGACCACAACCTACCACCTCGATCATGTCGCTCTCGTCAGCGTCACCCCACTGCCCTCATCTGAAACTCCCACCTCATTTTCCCTCCACCAAACCTTGTTGCCTTCATCCATCGCTTCATTTCTCACAGCTTCGACATCAGTGATCCCGGACTGTCAAGATTCTCTATTACCTCTGTTCACGAGATAGGAATTCATGACATTAGGTTGCTCAACATTGGCGATCTCGAAGCAATCGCAGGAAGAAACAGGGACTGTAAAAGGATTAACAAAGAGTTTGGGCTTCTCGACAAGGGAACTAAACTGTGATGGCATAAGCAGCATTGCAGGCAAAGAAAGCATTAACGTTTGCAGGCATAGACTTCGACGTCAAAGTCATCGGGCATCGGCGTCGAAGACGATGTCGAAGGGGGAACAAGGGTCGAGGTTAGGGGAGCCTTTTTGAAAATACAAAAAATAGCTTTTTCCTATTTTGTGTTTTTGATAAATAAAAACACTTTTGTTTAAAATGAAATAAAAAAACAACAAACAAACATGTTTTTCTTATTTTTTCCAAACAAAAATAAAACATAAGAAACAAAAAGTTATCCCAAACAACACCTTATTTTACCATTACAAGCAATATTTTACTATTAAATGCAAGGTCAAAAAACAAATGGTTGAAATGTTGTCAAATCATACCCAAGCATCCTCTTCTTGTAGTGTTGTTAAAAAAAGTGTAGAAACTTCCTGCCAACTACAAATACTTATCAATGATAATTTTCCCAACTAAAACAAAGCTTTGATAGAAAGATGTGAAATGACAAATACTAATAGTAATAAAAAGAAATAAGTTGGACAAATACTATAGAGTTCCTGAACAAACCAGGAAAGTACATGCTAGACCAGCAGCTAAGCAAACCGCAAACCCATACAGCCTCTGGACATTACAAAAAAATTATTTATCAGTGACTAGTTAAATTAGAAATTGAAACATTTAACACCTTGATAGTTTGCTGCATGGTAAGGTGAACGGTACAAATAAGCCAAAAAAATGTGTAATAAAGGACCGAATGTTTGGCAATGTATATGAGTTCATCAAAACAACCATTAACTTAAAAAGGATCCAATAAAATCAAATGCATCTAATGTATTGCAAAATAATAGCATTGATCTATGAGAAGATGGCATTTAATTGCGCAGGCAGTTGTTAGAGAATAAACAGTAAGGAAAAAGCAAAAACTTTTGAATACTGATATAGATGTGCCACATCCTTAAAAACACAAAAAACAGCACATGCTATCTCCAAAGAAAATAATTTGCAAGTTTTTCATACAACTCAGTAGAGTTCTCAACTAGATCACAATTTCATCAAAAGAATATGATCTTATGCACCAACATGAAATTTAGTAAGTAAATGTTTTCTCCCCAGACCACTGATCATGCACAAAGAAAATGGTATAATTATCTTTTAAAAAACTCTGTAAGAATAGATTTGCTAAACGAATCATGTCTTCTTTGAAGTTGGAGAATGTCTAGCCACAATTAGAAGCACTTCTTCTAAAATTTACAAGTTAAAGATAATATTCAACAATTATACATGTGTCTCTTGCTTCATTCCATTCCCTTGATATTTACTTTGGGAATAACAAACAGAGGCTCTCCCAATGTTCGTCTGTTCGTAAATCAATCAATAAAAATGTCTTTACTTCTCCATGACAGTTATAATAACCATATCAGAACCAACCTAAACACGGAATGATTGATTGAGATGACATCAATAACTTTTTAAAGTGTGATAAAGGTAATTAAATGTGATGAAAAACAGCTTTAAAACATTTTTGTGATTCGATAATGAAGATTTGCTTGATAAAGAGGACTAAAATAGTCAAATTGAATCTTTAATTTGATGAATACTGGTAACATATTGGGCCAAAATTTTAAGAGAATTTTTTGTGCATGCCACACATTTCTTATGTAGTTACATATCTAACACTTCAATCCTAATGTTTAATTAACACCAAAATTTTTAACAACACATCAAAAATATCACTAATATTAATTTTTTTTTACAAAAATACCCATTTGCATGCATATGTTTTGATAATTATGACACACACATATATATATATATGTATGTATGTCTGTATTCTTATATTTCATATAAGAAAATGCAATCGATTTTTCTACACTCAATTCATCTTTATCGAAAAGAAAAACCTAAACACAAACTCATGCACCAGCCAAAAATGCACAGATAAAAAAGAAACAGAAAGCGATTAAAATTACCGCGCAAAACACATTTATCAAATCAAGTTAAGCAAGGTCGACCGTTAAAATTCATTTTCTCGACTGAGTAGATCTGGCAAGATAAGGAAAACAAAACACCTAAAGAGCCCAATCAAAATCATCCAAACCCTAGATCTAACTGCTACAAACGACATTTCCCACGCCAAGGATTTAGCAACCAAATAAACATCAACTATGTCCTTGGAATGCCCACGAGTTCGAAGGCCATAGATAGATTGGTTTAAGATTGCATGGTTAATTGGACCTGCTGGGTAGTAAGCGTGCACTGTCGGTTGAAGTCATCGAAAAAGGAGGGCGCTTCGGCAGGTACTTCCTCGTCCACCTCCATTCCAACAAGCATCTTAGCCCTCTCCAATGCTCTGCTCATCTTCTCCATGTCGATCCCTGCCTGGATCTGAGTGGGAGCACTGAGGGGTCGGGTAAGACAAGGGCTCTCAGTTTAGCTTAATCACTCGAAATAAACAAGTCGAGCTACGCCGAAATTTTGGATGGAATTTTTGTATAGCTGATTTCGAGTAACGTACGGACATCCCCCGACTGATTCCACAGCCGTAGTATTTTTTATATATAAAAATCACATGTATAATATATAATTGTTAAGTAAACTTGATTATAAAGAGTTATAAGTCAATTTGGAGCTAATTCAAGTTGGGATGGATCTAAATAGCTCAATTTGAGCTAATAGTTTCATGTTTTAGTTGGGCGAAACTAATTTCGTGTTGAAACGGATCCAAATAACTCAATTTGAGATGTCATTTTAATTTCGAGTCGGAATGAGCTTGATTCAATTTCAAGCAGTCTCAGCTCAAAATTAAATATAAAAAGCCACAAGCCGGTTTCGACTCACTCACGCTGAAATTGGATTATTAGTAACCCTAGATATGGCGTTATTGTCAAACAGTGACGATGAATGAGCAATCAGTTTTGAGAATTTAAATCTTAATAATGAGTTCTTAAGTTTTATATAAGTTTTTAATTTTCTTATAAAATATTTATTTTTTTATCAACATTAGTGTTGTATATCCAAAAAAATGTTGATGGTGACTGCGATCGACTAACCGCCTCATTCAATTGGCCTCTCCAGCCGATCGACTTGCCACATAGTCAGATGGATCTAGCAACGAAAAGATGTCAGACATACAAAAAGTGTTTGTTATTTGAAAATGTGTTAGTGAAAACAATAATAATTGGTAACTCCCAAGAACAACAATAATTGATAACTCTCAGGGGCATAATAATTGTAATTCTCAGGGACAATAATAAATTGTAACTCTTAGAGATAATATTTTGTAACTCACTAGGGCGTAATATTTTGTAACCCTTAGGGGCAAAATATATTGTAATTCCCAGGGGCATAAGGCATAATATTTTGTAACCCTTGGGGGCAAAATATATTGTAACTCCCAGGGGCATAATAACTTATAACTCGCAGAGGCAATGATGTAATTTCCTAAATACCCCCCACAAACTATAAATAGAATGATCTTTTTCATGTAAATGACACGAGACCATTTGTGATTTTAGCCATTTAGGCATTATTTTCCCCTTCCTTTGTAACAACTTCTTTCAATATAAAAAATGAGCTCGAAAGCTAAGGGAACACCCCCACATCCGCTAGGGGTAGTCCTTGTGTCACTCATTTTTTCTCACTCATTCGTTCTTTTCCTCTCCCTCGATCCCTATGTTTTATTTCCTGGGCATGGTCTATATGATAAATTTAGATTCAATAGCCTAAAAAGTGTGGTGAGTGTGGAATCATGTCGTCAATAAGAAGGCAAGCAACACTAAAGAAAAACTCATCGAAGAGACACTCTTAACAAAGAGCATATAATGGGAACTTGCACAGCGGTAGGCTCGTGCGCACGAAAATTTCCGCTTCCCCCTCCCTATAGCAAAAATCTCTCTCGCATTGGTCTGTTTCATTGGTTGGCATCTACTTTGTCTAGCGGAATTCCCGGTCGACATCTATTCAGTCACCCAAAAAATTTCGACCGACACCTGCTCCTGGTCGGCCCGCTCCCGTTCTCACACTTATTGTCTCTCAGTCATTCCCATTGGGCCAACTTTATTTACTAAAAGAGTAACTTGAAAATTTATTTGTTCTCAAATATATTTCAAATAAATTTGATTTTAATCTGAAGAAAATAATTATATATATGAAGTCATATTGAGGAAGTAAAATTTTAATATAGAAATGAGTAAGAGAATTTAGTTAAACTTTATAGTAATGAAGAAAAACTTAAAGTTAAAAATTTTTAAAGTGGAAAATGCTAAATATAGTGTAACTATCTTTAATTGGAAAGATTGTATTTTTGAAAAATTTAGAAGACTTAGATTTTTATTTTCAAAAACTTAAAAATTCTTTTATTGAAATTAATTTTCAAAATTATGATGAAGTTTTTAAGTGAAGGAAAAATATCAACTCTTTGTTTTAGGAAAGGAAGAGTGGGATTTAAAATCATTAAAGGCCTATCCAGATATAGTAATCTTTGCTCGAAAAGAAAAGAAAAAGAAAAGAAAAGTTGAAAAAGGGAGGAGAAGCATGAGGATTAATGCCTAACTAAAAATTTGTTCCACATCTGATCTTTTTAAAGTATAAAAACTTGAGAAACTCATAAGCTTAAGGATATAATATAATAAGTAAAATTATGTTTAATAAAAAAATTTTAAGTTGAGAAAATAAAATACCTAAACTCTATTTTTGGAGAATCTACAATATTTTTGAATTCGATAGAAACTCATATTATCATAATCATATTTCTTAACATTAATCATATTTCTTAACATTAAAAATTTCTAAACTCTAAGTTGATCTATTTAATAATATTTTTTTTCTAAATTGGACTATTATATTTCTATATCAAAATTTTTGTAACTTTTAAAGAAACTCATATACATCACCTACTTATGTTGGTTTTTATAGATTAAAGGGTCACTTGAGGACAAGTAAAATTTTAAGTTTGAAGGATTTTCATACACCTAAAATATATAATATTTTTATACACATTTTTATACTTATTTTTTAGATGTTACGCTTTAATGAAAGGTATTTGTGTGTTTTTCTTCCAGATATAATCAAATGGATGAAGAATGCTAAAAGGAGTGAAAAATTATCAAATTTGGAGCAAAATGAAGAAAGGTGCAAAAATGAATTAGGGCGCCTAAGCGCCCAGGACTGACGCCTAAGTGTCAGAGGCTTGCGCCTTAGTGTCAGGTGCCCCGCGCTTAAGTGCCAGAAGTAGTTATTTGATAATTCATTGAATTTAGATGAATTTTTGAAGAGGTGTTTGAAGCAACACCCTAGGAAAAAATGTGAGAAATATCCCATGGACACATAAATTCATTCAATTGGCTTTTGAGGAGGTAACTTCTAGAAGATTTGTTGAAAGGAGACACATTTTGAAGGTACGCCAAGGTACCTTTTGAATTTTTATTAAAGAAGACTTGGATCACAAAGACAAGAACAAAGACAAGAAGCCAGCCACCCATTAGATTTTACAGTCATCATCGATGCAAGTCACCACTGCCGCGGGCAACTTTCTTTTTATTTTGAGTGTTTAGTTTGTATTGTGAGTGAAGGAAGAGAATTCAAAGGAACTTCAAGACATTTGGTGGAGAAGATTTGAGATAAAGGTTTATCTTTATGCTACACTTAGTTTTAATCAAGATTTCTTGTTTGTGTAAATGATTTCTACTTTTAAAATCATGTGTGTTTGTGTGTTTCTCCATGGATTCTGAGTAGTTTTCTTTATATTTTTCCTTAAAATGATAAGTGATTAAGTGTTGAAAGGAAGTTGTGAAGTATTAAGCTTCAATATTGGAAGAAGTTGTAATGATTTGAAACATTGCACTTCATTTACTTCTTGATTTAGCCAATTAAGATGTTAATACCTGTTATAAGAACATGTAAGATTTGAGATGGTATTGTCTCAGTCAACAAATGGTTTACAATCACATATTGATTTCATGAATGAGAATGTAGTTCATGGGTTTGAGTGCAAATAAATAGGGAAATAAAAATTTTAAGGGTGTAGAATTATAGGAGTTTAGAGTGACAGGCTAAAGCCCCCAATTTGATTTATAGTTTTAGGTTTTGATATGAGATCTTAGCCCCCAGGTGGAGGGATAAGAGGGAACTCTAGAGTGAGAGCTAGTATCTTCCCTACCTAACTGATCTTCAAGACTATTCAAATTATAGAATAACCAATATTTTTTATATCATCTCTAGTAAGGGTAAAGAAAATTATTGCTCATATTTGACACAACACATTTAGAATACTTTCACAACAAAATTTCTCTACTTATTAATGATTCATGATAAGGAAAAAGATAGTTTACTTATACTACCTTCATCTTGCAAATTTTTAGTTAAGTTAATTAGTTGCTTACTTTATTTTCCTAAACCAAAAATTACAAAAAGAATCAAATTTGCATTTCTATTTTAGCATCCTCAGTTTAAGTAAGAATATTTTGCTAAGTAGATTTTTATTATCTAAAATTTTTGAACTTTCTAGATTTTTAAAGTGCATATTGTTAATCTCCCCGTGGGTTTGATATTCATGGCTAAATAAAAAAACTCCTATATTACTTGATAACAATATGTATACTTGCATAGTATCCCATATTTAAATATTATAATTGTATTCTTATTTGTTTCATAAGTGGAAAACTTACTTAGCTTTTGCATTAGATTAAGTTTTTGACTTTGTTGCAAATTAATAATAACTATTAAGGAAATTAAGCTTATAATCACATACATTGTATTTTACATCTATATAAAATGTCAGGATCATATTACCCTGGTCTTAATCTGATGTTAATTGGGTATTGATGTGTTCTCAAATTGTTATCAATCTATTGATATTTAGTGGTTCAGGGTGTGGATTTATGTGCATATCTGACTGTCTTTATGGTATAATGCATATTTGTAGTTCTCTGAGCCCGGAAAAGCTTGCAATGATCCAATTGTTGACAATTTTCTTAAGATCATTGTCCACAATCTGTAAGAAGCTTATGTACAATACTATGCCTATGCACATTATGTTGGATTCACTGTCCGGAATGATCACAGTAGTTATTGGCCTAGTTCAAAGCAAATTAAGATGAAGGATTATATTTGTGAAAAAGCTGGTCGAAAGAGAGAGTCGCAATTAATGAATAGGGTGAAGTACAAAAAATCGACACAAGGACTGGCTGTCAAGCCTTGGTTAGATATGCTATCAATCTTGAGGGCCACTAGAGAATTAAGAAATTTTTAGAAAGTCATAACCACCCCTTGGCGGAAGCCGGTGATAAACATCTTTTGTGTTCCAACAAGAAGATTAGTGGGTTAAATGCAAATTTGCTCAGATCAATGAAAAGATCAGGGATCAAAGCAGCACACACATTTAACTTCATTGCTTCATAGGTTGGGGGAGTAGAAAACCTGGAATGTACGAAGCAAGATGCCTATAACTTAATTCAAAGAAAAATGAGAAGTATAATTGAACAAGGTG